CTGACAAACGTTTCAGAGTAGATGCAGATTCAGCTATCAAACAGTTAAACAAATTAGGGATTGTCACTCAGTAATCTGAAATCAATATTCTTTGTAAATGTCACCAATTTCATTTAATGAGGTTTAGTTACTATTAAATTAAAATATCTGTGTTATGGATTAGTGGACTTAAGGGTTAGGTCCACATTTTATTGACATGGGATCATTCTCCTTGTCACAGGCTCCATGAATGAAGAGTTCCCTGGTCAAATAAGTGTGGGCCATGCTGTCTACTGTAACTCTTCGCAGCTTCACGGCGTGTGAGGATGTTAAAGGCTCTGGGAGGTCCTGTAGCACAAACTCTCCTTTAATCCAGAACTTCCCAAATTTATCTGTCCGTAGGTTTCTTTTTCGTCTACTACCTGTTCCACAGAATGAGTGTTAGAGTATCGGATGGAATCCTAAGTATTTAGATGATTCAGATTCTCCTGTCTGGTTTACTTTCCCTAGACGGTCTGGTTTTATTTAATACTCTTAGTTTTAATCTTGCTCTCAAGAAAGTTTTGGATTCAAATGCTGATTTTCGAACGGTTTCTCTTTATTGCCTGTTTCCCGTTCAAATGAAACCCTAGCAGCAGTCCCTCTCGTGATGACGCTATCGCTCAAATGTCCACTGAGAGGAAGTTCGGACTCTCTAAACCAATGTTGCTTCTCTTGTGAGGCAGTTACAGGAAATGCAGGCCACTGACAAACGCCAACCGTGACAAATGCACCTGCTTCTAGGCCATGCATACAAGTAACTTTTGTTCACTAACAACGGTTACCATTATAGTAAGTAGGAATAGGACTAACAGCTGAATTATGTACCTTGTAAAATGAAGATCAGATGAAATAGGGTATGGGAAAGTGCTTTATAAGTCTAATGCTCAATACAAACAGGTAGCAACAAATAAAAAATAATTTACTTTCACAGAGGCCTTGCAATAACTAACTTTTAATCTCCAATGATAATACTATTTGCCACGCACCATGCTAATGACTTTCACCATAGTGACCATTTAATTGCCCTATTCCTCATTAATCCCCAGTGTATTACTTTCATTATATTCTCTGGTTTGCTTCTTCTAATGATTTCCAGTGACTCCGAAATGCTGTTCACACAGCTGAATAAATTCACTTAAATATGTATTGGTATGATCTTCTCTTCCTTGCTTCCTAAGCATATTTGAATCCCTTTCAGAGAGTTTGCTGTTGGAGGGTCTGTTTACTGCAAAGCTGGCTTCTGGAAAATAAGTTCCCATGGAGAGAAGGGGACAGGCCCCAATCTCCGGAACTCACTGTCCAAGAACAGCCTGAATCAGGAGGCGTTCACTTTGGGACATGCAAAAAGTGTTCTCAATGCCCGTCTGAAGATGGTCAGTAGGCTATCAGGGTCTGAAGCACAAAGGAACAGATCTAGGCTACAGACAGATTTGGAAGTTGTTCTTACAGACAATTACTAAAGCCCTGAGAGCAGAGGAGAAAGAGGGCTGAAACACGTTAATATTTAAAAGATAAACCAAAAGAAGAGAAGGATGAAAGAGAGAAAATATACTTAGAGAACTGGTGCCCAATAGAACTGTCTGCAGTATGGAAAGTTCTCTATCTGCACTTTCTAATGCAATTGCTACTAGCCATACGTGGCTAATGAGCACTTGAAATGTGACTAGGGTGACTGAAGGACTGAATTTTTTTTTTTTTTAAGTAGGCTTGATGCCCAGTGTGGAGCCCAATGTGGGGCTTGAACTCATGACCCTGGGATCAAGACCCGACCCGAGATCAAGCGTCGGATGCTTAACTGACTGAGCCACCCAGGCACCCCCTGAATTTTTAATTTTTAAAAATATCAACATAAACTCAAATAGCCACATGTGGCCATTGCGTTGGAACAGTGAAGGGCTACAGAGTAGGCTGAAAACAAGAATAATATCATGGAAGTCAAGGAAAGAAAGTATTTCAAAAGGTGGGAATGATCAATAGTTCTAGAGAGGACAAGCAAACAGGACTAAAGCAGGACTAAAAAGTAACTACTGTAGTTAGCAAGCATTATGAGTTGATGTGGCCCCCCTCAAATATTCCTATGTTGAAGTCCATACCTCAAAATGTGATCTTATTTGCAAATAAGGTCATTACAGATGTAATTAGTTAGGACGAGGTCATACTGGAGTAGGGTGGGCCCCTAATCCAACACGGTTGATGTCCTTAGGAAGAATCTGGACACACAGGCACATTCACACAAGGAGAATGCCATGTCCACATAAAGCAAAGATCAGGGTGATGCATCTACAAGCTAAGGAATACCAAAACTACCAGCAAACCAGGAACTAGGAGACTGGCCTGGAACAGATCCTTCCCTGGAGCCTTCAGAGGGAACATGGCCCTGCCAGCACCTTGATATTAGACTTCCGGCCTCCAGAACTGCGAGACAATACACTTCTGCTATTTCCATTACCCGATTTGGTTTGTTATAGCAGCCCAAGCAATACAACCCAACACAAATGGTCTTTTACACTTCCTAGTTGCTTGTGTGTCTACTAAAATCTTTAGAACATACATCTTCTTGTTTATTTAAATCTTACTCTTGTAGTGGATAGAAAGCATAGCTGCAAAACTTTGCTTTCACACTAAATGTTTAACAGTAGTTTAACAGCAGTATTGAATACTATCCAATGATGTGACTATTCAGTCGTAGACCTGGGTACTGAAATGTAAACACCGCACTACAAAACAAGCACGGAGAAATCTGAAACACAAATGATTCCCAAGAGCTCTATGAGATTTAGTTGCTTGGCTCAAGCACTCCTCCGTCCTTGTGTCATAAATTACATGTTTTAAAAACAATGAACATCGGGGGTGCCTGAGTGGCTCAGTCGGTTGAGCGTCTGACTTCAGCTCAGGTCATGATCTCGCAGTTCGTGTGTTCGAGCCCCGCGTCAGGCTCTGTGCTGACAGCTTAGAGCCTGGAGCCTGCTTCGGATTCTGTGTCTCCCCCTCTCTCTGCTCCTCCCCCACTCATGCGTGCGCTCTCTCTCTCTTTCTCATTCAAAAATAAATACAAACATTAAAAAAAAATTTTTTTTAAACAATTAACATCAAAAAAAAGAACACTTACCTTTGGCTTCTAAACTTTCAAGAGTAGTCATTTTTTAACCAATGAAAAGGCACCTCAAACCTTCTACGGAAAAACCTAAAAATGTATAAATTGAAACAATTAAGACAATACCATACAAAGATGTTTACTAAGTTTATTAATTACCTTGTAATTTAGATATGACAATATTCTAGTTTCTGCATTTAGTACACATGCATTTCAAAACCTTCCCACAGGTGATACTGTTATGGTTACCGAAGGTCTCAAAAAATCACTGGTGGTTTACTTTCAAATTTGTTTCACTGTTTCTCCCAAGTATACTCTATCAGGTGCCCTGGATTTTAGTTAAGAAACTGTGGTGAAGTTACTGTAGCGGCTTTTGTATCATTGATACGACAACAGTAATCTTATTAACAATTTTTTAAAAAATGTTTTTATTTGTTTTTGAGAGAGAGAGAGAGAGAGAGGGAGAGAGAGAGAAAGAGAACGAGTAGGGGAGGGGCAGAGAGAGGGAGACACAGAATGTGAAGCAGGCTCCAGACTCTGAGCTGTCAATACACGCCCCAATGCCCGCTGGCACTCGTGACCCACAAGATCGTGACCTGAACCGAAGGCACACCTAACCGACTGAGCCACCCAAACGCCCCAACAGTAATTTTAAAGAAATTAATTACTTTCTCAGGGGACATTAGTGACACTAATTTGCTAACTATTTATATCCCAAAGGAACTTCTGTTTAAACTATATAACAAAAATACTCAGAACTTAATTTGCACTTTCTTGGTCATAGAATTAAAATGGCATGGCATATGTTTTCAGAAACGTGTGCATGGCCTTTTCAGTAAAGACTAAGATTCAGTGGAAAACATGAGGAGGAAGGTGGTGCTTAGTAGAGTGACACGATCGAATATGATGAACTGTACGTTAGATGGCAACTGGTTTCACCACAAAAATGATCACCCTGAGTACTCGATCTGACTTGGCACAGGGTCCTCCACGACTACCCTCCTCAATAGTCACAAACCCCCCTTCTGTCGCTCTGAAAACAGGTCTCCAAAGACCCCTTCGCAAGAGCAAGGAGCCCAGCCACTGCGCTCGGAGGAAGCGCCACGGCTCGGCCGGCAAGGGCCGATTCAAGGGGGTGGGAGGGTGTGGAGTGAGTAACAGGTGGGAAAGCGACAAGCTGGTCAACCTCTGCCGTCCGGGGAGCCGAATCCGAAATTCCGTCCCTGTCTGAACAAGTTTTCCTGGAACAAAAGGCAACCTTTCCCCAAATCCAAAGCGTCTGAACACCAAACTCCAACCCAGACCTCTGTCCCTTTCAAACGTCCCCCCCGCCCCTCGGTTACACAAGCCCGTTTCTTGCACTTACCGCCAAGGGTCCTTACTCTGCCGATCCCAGGGGCTTCACTTTACAGACCTTCGGGCTCCGCACACTCCTCTTCCGTTCCGAAGCTGACCCGCCCAGACCTTCCTGACATCCAGCGGCTGGCTCACTATTAATCACTTCCTGTTCTCAGGGTTTCGTTTCCGGAACAATTTTCCAAAAGAGAAAGGTAAATACGCTCTGTGGTGTCTTAAAACGCGAGTGACGCAGCACATGAGGTCTAAGGCTTCTGTAAGTGAAAAACGGATAGATGTCTACTTAGAAATAAATTATAGGATATGTGGAGCGCCGGCTGTGTATCACTTAACTTCCGGGTCACCTGTCAACCAAACTTAAGTGATGACGCTGGCCCCAAGCGGCGCCATGAAAGGGCGGGGCTGTCGACGGGATGGGCGGAGTTCTAATTCTCCCAGCCCCTGGGAACGAAGGGGCGGGGCGGTGGCGATTCCGCACGTCCGGTAGTAGGCGGGGCTCTGTTGCCGGAGTAACCGGGCGTCGGGGTTGAGGTGGTGTCTTCCTGTGGCAACGCTACCTATTTCCCTGTGCCGAGATCCTGAGGCTATGGTGAGTGCCAGGCGAGGCCGGAGGAACCGCTTCACGGTCTTGGTTACGTAGCGTCCCAGGTCCTGGGGCGGAGGGTCACTCAGAGGCGGCCCGGTTTCTTCCACCTTCGCCCCATGTTTCCCTCTTTCCAGGGGCTCTTTCTGCAGTTTCCTTTCTCTCCCTGTGTCTTGCAGCACCTCGAATTCCGCTTCGGTACTGCTGAGCCTCTGGAGTAATGTGACAAAAGTGTAGGGGTAAACACGGAGTCTCATACCCTGAGGCGAGACATTATTTCGAACAGACGTTTTAAATGTTTGTAGTTTTCATCACTTCAAGTTCTTGGCTTCTCTTTAACGCGCCTCATTTAAGAGCATTGGTTGTGTGTGTGATGGCTCAGCACTGACCCAGGTGTCCCTAGGTCTCGCAGTGTTTGCCCTCCAGAGCCGCAGAGCGCTGCTCCTTCTCCCCTCTAAGGGCCATTTAGTCGGAGCCGTATTTGCACAGCTGTCTTCTGGCCAGGGGATTATCCCCTAGGTAGGTGCTTTTTAAGAGGAATGCCCCTCAAGATCTCTTGGGAGAGTTTCTGGAAAATTCACTTGCTTGAGCCTCACCCCCAGAAATTCTGAATCAATAGGAATGGGGCTGGGCATTTTTAAAAAGCCTAGAGCTGGGGCGCCTGGGTGGCGCAGTCGGTTAAGCGTCCGACTTCAGCCAGGTCACGATCTCGCGGTCCGTGAGTTCGAGCCCCGCGTCGGGCTCTGGGCTGATGGCTCAGAGCCTGGAGCCTGTTTCCGATTCTGTGTCTCCCTCTCTCTCTGCCCCTCGCCCGTTCATGCTCTGTCTCTCTCTGTCCCAAAAATAAATAAACGTTGAAAAAAAAAATTAAAAAAAAATAAAAAATAAAAAGCCCAGAGCTAATTTTTATTGAGTCACTTGTTTGAGAACACCGGGGGTCGAGTTAATTCACTTAATTAGCGACTCTTTTAAAGAGTTACGAATAACGGACTGGGGGATGGAAAGATGACTGTTGTCAGAAGGGTGTAGCTTACGAATTTAGCAACAGAGCCCCTCCCACCACCTGTTCTTTCTCCCTTCCTACTCAGGGACCTTTTCTTGCCCCAGTCTGCCCCTGTGCTTTTCCAGCGGAGCCCTTTCCAAACTTTCACTTCCCCAACCCCTGTCCCTTCCCCTGCTTTTTCCTCCCTTCTAAGCAGATGCCAGAGACTGAAAGTCATTTTCTTCAGCCTCGTGCCCCTAACCTACACATTGATATATATTTTACCCATCATCCGATTTTGCGTTTCTAGTGTAGAGAGAGTGGTGTTGAAGGACAGTGCATCCACCTTTCCTCTAGGTCTCATTCCCTCCCATCCGTTACAAGGCCTTTTGCTTCTGCTTATCTTTTATCCCCCCACCCCACCCGGTGCTTTCAGCCTCTCTGCCTCCTTTTCCTGCAGTGTTCTGGTCATACATCTTGAGAAAATGAAATAAAACAAAAAAGCGTATCCCCCATGCTGGTTTATCCAGTTACTGCCCAATCCTCCCTTGCGCCTTTCTGTGACTGCATGGAAGCATAGTATTTTCACCTGCTTTAAATGCCCCCCTTTTCATCCTCAGTACTCTTGTCCGACTTCCTCTTGAACGGTTTCAACGAAGTTGCCCTTTTCCAAGTTTTTAATGGCCCTGAAATGCCAGATCCAATGCTTTCTTCTCAAAGTTTATTTTATTTAGCTTTTCTGTGATAACTGAAGTTCACAAACATTCATTCCCCCCCTACCCCCCTCCGCCTTTTCCCCCACCGGCCTTGCCTGCTTTTTAAATGCCATTCTCCAGGACTCAGTCCTTAATTATTTTCAGTTCTTAGTCTATGCATTTTGCTGGGGTGATTTCATCCACGCACATGAGTTTTACTAATGCCTAAGCATTCACACCTAAACTTCAGTTTTCAGGAGCACCTGGTGGCTTAGTTAAGCATCCGACTTCGGCTCAGGTCATGATCTCACAGTCTATGGGTTCGGACCCCACGTCGGGGCTGACAGCTCAGAGCCTGCTTCTGATTCTGTGTCTCCCTCTCTGTCTCTGCCCCTCCCCTGCTCATGCTCTGTTTCTCTCTCTCTGTCTCTCTCTCTCTCTGTCTCTCAATAAATAAATAAACATTAAAAAGAAGTTTTTAAACTTCAGTTTTCCTCTCATACCTGCTAGGGCCTAACCTAGTTGCTTCCCAGACACTCTTCCTGGTTACCACAAAGGCCTTTCAAATTTGCCATGACTAAAACTGAACTTGCTATCATTCTACCTGGTTTTCCTTATTCCTTCAAGTTAATTAATGAGATCACTCTAACTTATAATATAGCTTTAATATTATATAACTAATTAATATAGTTATTACATATTGCAATATATGTAACCTAAACCAGAAACCAGAGTTAACCTCTCTTGCTTTCCTATGCTTCCCATATTCAGGTGGTCACTAGATCCTGTTTTAGTTTGAGGTCTCCTCATTTCTTGCCTGGACTGTTGCAATATATCTTTAATAGTGTGGTATGGCAGTTATTCGAGCCATTATTTTCTCAGTAACAAGAAGGAATTTTCTAGGACCCAAATCTTTGAGGTCACCTCTTTAGTTTATTAAAAAAATTTTTTTTAAATGTTTATTTATTTTTGAAAGGCACAGAGTGCGAGCAGGGAGGAGGCAGAGAGAGAGGGAGACACAGAACCTGAAGCGGGCTCCAGGCTCTGAACTGTCAGCACAGAGTGCTTGAACAGCAGAGCTTGAACTCATGAACCGTGAGATCATGACCTGAGCCGAAGTCGGACGCTTAACCGACTGAGCCACCCAGGCACGCCTGAAGTCACCTCTTTAAAACTGTAGGCTCTCCAAACCCTACAGTATAAAATTCAGCGTCCCTGGAATGGCATGCAAGGCCCTCCGTCATCTAGCATTTACCTGTCTAGCTGCTTTCATGCCTCTCTGTAGCCTAGACATTCCTTTCAACCGCTTATCTTTCACTGAATGTTCTAAGCACCTTCAAGCTGGTGGTCTGAGTGTTCCTTCTACTTTGCACACGCTGTACACGGGATATTCTTCTGCCCTTGTTTGCTGGCCAAATCCCCTTGGATTCTTTCAGACCCAGGTTAAGTGTCTCTCCTCCTGTGATGGTTACTTACTTCTCTGCTCAGAGAGGTGACTTTTTATTTCTTGTCACAACTTTACATAGTACACATCTCTCTTGTACTTACCACGTTCAGTTGAAATTGTGTATGAATTTGTCACTCTTACCAAACTCAACTGGGAGGGGGATCAATATTTTGTTCCCTGCTATTGCTTAGACTGTATTAGGCGCTCAGATATTTGCTGAATGGAAAAAGAAGGAATGTGGTGAGTGTCCCGAGAGGTTACAAAGTACTTGGGGAATACTGGAGGATGGAGTCCTCACTTTTCAGAGTCGGAAAGGCCATCGTTAAGCGAATGGAATAGAATTTCCATAGCTAGAATTGGATGGCATAGGGGGATGGAAAGTGACATTTGTGGAATACTGGTTTTCTTTGTGCTTGTCTTACCGTCTGTCATTTAGACTTCCCAACTACCCTAAGAGGGGTGACCTCCCCCCACCGCCCCCGGTTGGAGTCGCGTGTTTCAAACTGGGTGGTCAGTGAAGGCCGCTGTGAAGAATTGACTTCCATCTTGAGACCTGAATGATGAAGTGCAGTGGTCTGGGGGAAGCGTACCAGGCAGCACTAACAACAAGATCAAAGGTCCTGAGGCAGTCAAGCAGTTGGCATATTGCAGGAACTGATCTCGTGGTTTAATGTAAAAATAGAATAGAAATTCGGTGGTGGGGAGTTGGGGGGGCAGCGGCAGTGGACAAAGTATGGCAGAGGGTAATGTGAAGTGCAGTTAGAGAGGTAGACAGAGGCCAGACCAAACGTATGTACTTCAGCATGGTTTCTCAGACGAGGTTCTAACCCATTACTCGGTCATGACATCAATTTGTCGTATGTAGCCAGCATTAAAAAAGATGACATAAAACAGACACTATATTCATTGTATGTAATAAGGATAACTTCCATGAAACTTTTATTGTAAATTGTGTGTGTCTTGTATGTCCTGGGTTATGATACAGATCATGTTCCTGGAGCACCTGGGTGGTTCAGTCAGTTGAGCGTCCGATTTTAGCTCAGGTCACGATCTCATGGTTTGTGAGTTCGAGCCCTGCATCGGGCTCTGTGCTGACAGCTCAGAGCCTGGAGCCCGCTTCGGATTCTGTGTCTCCCTCTCTCTCTGCCCCTCCCCTGCTCCCGTTCGCTCATGCGCGCTGTCTCTCAAAAAATAAACATTAAAAAAAAAACCCAAACCCCATATTCCTTACTGTCGGTCATGACCCACAAAGTTCAAGATACAGTATACTTTGTACTAATATGTACTTTAAGAGGTAAAATAGTTAATCTCAAGGCACACAGATTTCTTATTCCTCCTAAGATTGACTTAGTGACAATCTCATTGTGTGATGGGAGAAGCTCTGAATTTAATGAGAGCTTAAAATTGACTAGAGTAGAATTTTCAAGTTTCCTTTTGCATGCAGATCTGTCTCCTGTGTCATTCGCTGTCAATCCTTTATGAGAAAGAATAGGCCTTTAGAAAACTAGAGGGGTGCCTGGGTGGCTCAGTCGGTTAAGCATCTGACTCGTGATTTCAGCTCAGGTCATGATCTCATGGTTTGTGGGTTCAAGCCCCACATTGGGCTCCACACTAACGGTGAGGAGTCTGCTTGGGATTCTCTCTCCCCCTCCCTCTCTGCCCTTCCCCCACTTGAGCATGCAGACAGGCTTGCCCTCTCTCTCTCTCTCTCTCAAATAAATGAAACTTAAAAAGAGAGAGAAATTGATGTTCTTTCTCTGTGTTCAGTCTCATCACTAACAGGTATGTTGCATCAAAGGCTGATGGTCTCTCTCCAAGAAGCTGAGGGTGGAATTTGTTTGCCCCGCTGGTTTGTCTTCCTGACCGCTATAATTACATGATC